ATAGATAAATTAATTTATTTATATTTTATAAAAATTTTATTAAAAATTAGTTATAATTTAAAAAAGTTTTATTAGTATTATATATCAATTTTATATGTAATTTTTAAAAAACTATATAAAACTATATAAAAATAATCTATATACTTTCTACCCTTAAGTAGTCTGCTCAAAAGTTCTACACTAGTTACTATACTTGAAATCTATTTAAAAATTCTCTATTTAAATTCTTTGGCATTATAATATTATTACTTGTATACTATTTATTTAACTAAATTAGTCTTACTCAATACTACTTTTTCAAAAAGATATCTAAGCTGATATATGCTTACAAACTTTATAATTTAGAATCTAGGCTCTATCTCAAGTTACTTCTTTACCAACTCTCTAATTAATAAATACTATAGAATCTAATTATACTATACTATATCCTAATCTAGCTTATATATATCTTTATTTGATGTTTATACAAATTTAGTTTCTACTATAACTTTTTACTAGATTAGTTTTCTATGCCTTCAGATATTATGTAAAACAGATGCTTCCAAATCTAGTTAGCTACCAAGCTACATTAGTGTTGCTATATGATCTTAGTTCTTATAACTATTTGAATATAACAGATCTACTTATATCTATTTTAGTCATATCCTTACATATGCAGATTTTTTTATCAAATTAAATGTTAATTAGTATGACTATTAAAATTTGTACTACTTCATCTAACTCAGAATTTCTACTATGCAAAACTTTTGCTTATAAATATTATTAAGATTTTTTTTTAATTCAGCAATCATACTAAAACTTTATTTAGAATTTGTTTTATACAAGAAAACATCATTGAATGACTATATATTTTTTCAATATCTAAGTTTTTAAGTTTTAACTCATCTGGTTATTTTATAAATATCTATATACGATTTGCTATAGTTAGGATTGTTAATAGAGTACTCCAAGCTATAATAAAACATATAAACTATTTCAGTTTCAAACTAGAATAGTTTATATGTTTTATTATAGCTTGGAATATTCTATTAACAACCCTAGCTATAGTGACTTTTATACTAGATTATTGTTGCTACTATTCTGTAACTACAATTTTCTAAGTATAAATACTACAGCCTATTATAACTACTTTTATATCTTTCTAACTACTTTATCCTTCTTTATCTATAAATTTTTAATTTTTTTAAATATTTCTTCTAAACTACTATCCTTTATTTTATTTTCTATTCATTTATTCATATTTATCTTATAAGAATTTTTCTGTTTTCTTCTTTTCTTCCAAACTTTTCTACTAAGTTTATTTACAGATCTTCTGATTAGACAAAATATCTTTTTTTCTTCTAGTTTTGCTCTGCATTTTCATATTTCTTTTTCTGCAATACTATAAGCTTTTTTTTGGTTACTCTTCTGTATTACTAATTGAACTTCTTCTCTAAAGTTATATCTTTTAGATTGTCTCTTCTTTTTCTTTTTCTAATTCTTTTAGAGGTTATGAGCTTTTGTTTTTCTTTTATTTTGTTTAAACTTTATCTTTTTTTTTTCTCTTCTCTTTTGAGTTAAATTTATTCTTTGTATCTTTGTTTTTTCTTCTTTATTATTTTTGGAACTATCTTGATTTTTTTTCTGTACTATTAGTTTTGTCTCTTCTTTAAGTTCTTCTAGAATTTTTTCTATTTTCTATTTTTTTATATTTCTTCCTTTACTACTTCTAGAGTTTTTGTTCTTCTTTTTTCTTTTTTGTTTTTCTCTTGAAAGCTTCTTTTTTTTTTCTGTTACTTTAATAAAGCTCTTCTAGTTGCTTTTTTTATCTGTAATCTAATCTTCATTATAGTTTCTTTGTTTTATTGTTTTTGCTTCTTAATTGTCTTAGCCTTGAGTATTTCTATCTATCTTGTATTTATTTTTTATTATATTTTTTATAAGAGCTCTTCTTTCTTAATTGATAATCCGGCTATAATTGGCACTAATTTGTATATATAATTTGGGGTAAAAATTTACCAATTTACTATGATATTATCCAAAATACATAAAATCATGAGTTTTACAAATCTCGCACAAATTAATAATTCTGCATGATATAAAAAAAAACTTGTGCAAAAATAGTTATAAATATATATATATTAAAAAAAAATTCGCGTTAGTTTAACAGAAAAAGAGTATTATTATATACGAATGTCAGATTTCAACCACTTTATTATATATAAATGTTGAATTTCAATATGTGATATGTATAAAGTAAATAATAAGAAAAAAATTATTTCAATATACCAGAGGTCTCAGGTACCTCTAAAGAAAGTCTCGCCATATTTTGCTTCTACTTACAACTAAATGTTGCAATTCAATTATTAATAATAGATACTTTTGAGATATCATTTTGGTTAAATTCACTACGTTGAGCCTATTTTAATAATTCATCATATATTTCCTCACCTGATATCTTGTTATTACTATCTACGGTTCTTGCGTGAAACATATTTTCTAATAAACTCCTAATTTGTTTAGTTATTTGTTTCCAAGGTTCTTTCTGATTATTTTTTTCATTTTCAGCTAAGACCTAACCTAACAAATACCTGTTATGACTGAATTGAAAGTAAATATATAGTCTATTTATTATGTAAAACATTCGTTTAATACTGTACATAAATATTACCTTTTTGATGTAGAGCAGATATCTGTTTGTATCAGGTTGTTTGTATTTAGTGCATGCGTTTCCTGGAATTTTAACATTATTAAAATTTGTCTTTTAATTATAGAACATAATATTGTCTGTTGAGAATAAGTATTTTCAGCTTTACTGATTTACTGGAACTAAAAATTTTGCCATAAACCAAGGTAATTCCTAAAATCTTTTTTTTTTCATTTTGACATATTGCATAACAATTAACCTTATATAATTGAGGTTTCACACAAATACCATCTAATTTGAGTTTGACAAAACTTCATTATGGCGCATTTGATTACCAAATCCAATTTTAGTTACCAAATTGCATATGTACTAATCAATCGATACTAAACGCTCCCTCTATCTAACCTATTTGTCTCACCTTATTAGACATAGAAATTTAAATAGTAATGCGTGAAAATAGTGATTAGCACA